TTTTTGTTTTTTCCTTTGCTGGCTACCTGCCACCTCTGCTGCCTCTTTCGTGCGGTGCCTACCCTACACTAATGCGCTGGTGCATACTGCACTGCTGAAGTACCTGGTACTGGTGTACGTTGTCCTTCGATTTTTATATTTGTTTTGTGGGAATATATATGTGTTGGTTTTTCGCCCCCCGTCTTGCTGCACCCCCTGGGGTGTGGTGCAGGGCGGGGGATGCCTGGTCGGCGGGAACCCGGCACGGAACCCTCCGGCGTTGTAGGCGGGTGTGGGAAGCGTTCCCCGTTCTCCTTTTATTTTATTTTGATCGGTCTCCTCGACGCTCTTTTTCGTTTGGTGCGGTAGCTGGTCTTTCTTTCTATCATTTTGTTTCTCTTCCGAGTGGTTTTTGTACCCTACTTTTTTCTGTTTCTTCGTGGGGTCGTGTATGCCGGGTTTTGAGACCACGGGCTCCCCATCTTTCTTTTTTAGAGCTAATGTGAGAAACAACAACAACAACAACAACAAACTGGAGGGGCGACCTCTTTGCACTTCAGCTTACACCCGCAGTATCCCGGGATGCACGGCGCCCCTCTCCTGCCACACGAACAGCTCCTCTTGCATTTATGAGACAGGGCCTTGTCCGGTTTGCAGTTGCACATGAACGTCTTGACCTTCCCCGCCTGGTCTAAGACCCCATGCGTCGACAGCACGGTGGCGATGTTCTCCGGCCCGAAAGGTTCCGTGGCTCTCCCCTTATCCCACCCCCGCCCGTCATTCACCACCGGCCATGGTTCCAACGCCAAGGACGACAGCCAATACTCCAAGACTGCGTTCGCCCTCAGCATTTGAAACTTCAAGGCATCATATCCCGGGCACTGCTTCCTCCCATTGTCTACCCTTTCGCCAAAAAGATTTACTTCCCGCACTCGCTCCACGAACCTTTCCACGTCTCCCTCGCATTGCTGGAATAGAGACACGGCGCCGTCCAGGTATACCGGCAAGAAGATATCCCAGTGAAGCATGAAGTAGCACGCCGCCAGCATCTTAATGCCCTGTGTAGTATCTACAACCCACCGGTCTCGCCCCGCCTTGTTGTCCTCCTTCCTTCTTGCTGACGATGGGCTTGTCGAAAAGCCCAGGCACGCAGAAAGTCTCCACCACGAACGAAAGAATTTTGTCCAACGGCATGTTGTAGAAAGCCGGTAGGAAGTCGCAGCCAGCAGAAAAGAACACCACCACCACCATCACCGCTTTCGCGGAGTCGGACTCGAACCGACTCGGAACGTGACTTTCGCCCTGCTTCCAAGGAATGTCGTTGCAAATGGACCGGTATAAGCGGTTGACGTGTACGTATCTCGTACCATCCTTGCCCTTACGCTGGCGTACTTGCACGAACTCAGCTCCTAAACCGTCGGGGCCAACGGCCATGGTTGCCATCGCGAGCAGGGCGATGAACACCTGATCGGTATCATGCGAAGTGACCGTCCAATGCCGCAAACGGCTGTGCCCGGTCACTTGCACGTGGTGTACGAGGAGCCAGATTGTGGCCACCTCTCCTTCGCCAATCTTGGGGACCTCAACTGCCACTGAGTCGAGTTTCCCCTTGCCTGATAAATTCCCTGACGGTCTTCTTCTCTACGATTGGAATGTCGTCCTTGTGATGGTAGCCTTCCATGTAACATCGATTGCAGAGGTCGCTGTCAACACGCAACTCGGTGCTGGAACTTCGAAAGGTAGCAATCGAACTCGTCGCCGACCTGAAATGTGAAGTGAAAATACCGACCCACGACCCAGCTTTCAACCACCTAAATACTTGAGGTCCTTGACGTGACTTCAGACAGATGGCACAAGTCTTCTTGGCGCCTTCTGCCCTCAACGCCTTGACCACCGCATAGACACACGCACCCCGTTCGCACACGCTCTTGCAGCTAGGTCGGTAATCCTCCTTGACGCCACCACTGTCACAGAGCCGTCTGTTGTTGGGGTCCCACTCATACAAGCATATGGCGTCGTCAAAATTTTCGGCTACAAAGTGTTCCACCTCTTGTTGGGGGACCGGTGGCATGCGTGGCAGACGCGCTTCTCCTCCCCGTCTATCTCTACCAACAAGCCGCATTGTCCTTCGTTACATGCAGGCATACGCCCTTTTCTTCGGCGGCGGCGGCGGGGGGCAGCAGTGGCGGCGATGCTCCCCGAAAAAATGTGCCGGAGGCCACGTGATCTGCGCCCCGAGCGAGTTTGTGCCGGCTGCATACCAATCAGCTCGCTTGTCGTCGGCCGCCCCGTCCTCTCCAGCTCGCTTATTGACGGATGAGGGGCGTGCCATTCACCATCGTCGTCGGTTTCGCCAACAACCATGGGATCCGTCAGAGGGGCGCAGCGACCGACGTCGGGCACTACATCACCCCTCACGTGCTTCGCCACACGAGTGGCAGCACCAGACGTTGGTTGTGCCGTGTCCGATACTACCCTTTTCCCAAGCACTGCCGCCGTTCCATCCTCCCCTGTGCCGAACATCAAATAAAATGGCACCCTTGTGAGTCCGTGCTGTACATTCTACAACATTTATGGTGGTGCGTGGCCGAATGTTTCTCCTGCAGGCGGCGAATACCCTAACTGCTTCCTTACGCCAAAAGAAATTGATGGTGGGGGCTCACTACCGTGTTCGGAGTCGTTAGACCATTTACCTCGCATCCCTACAAGGCCGGGACGGAGCGGTAGGGTGCGCTGCGTCTTACAGAAGGTGTTTGGTTAATTGTGTGCTTGCTCCCTTGTATACGAATGATGGCTGAGATGGCATAACTTAGTTTCTGGCGTTTCTCGGGGGTATTTCACCACTCTTTAATACAACGTGGTGCGACCATCCCCGCCCAACAAAAGCTACTCGAGCACCATCATGGTTACCGCAATAAAATAACACGCACACAAAGCCAGAAAAAACAAGCGGTAACCTGGTTGACGAGCCCACGAAGCGATCGGTGTGTTTACAACGTCGTTTTCACGCGCCGGAAACCCAACCCCGATGGCTCGCGGTGGGGGAGGGGATAGGGGGGGGCGGGGGCGTTGTGTACCAAACGACCTTATCAATGCAGCCGCGACGCAAGCATGTTCCTGCCGGACGAAGTTCCCTTGGTGATCAATCCTCATCTATTCTCTCTCGACCGGTGCCGTCGGCGTGCGCCCGGTACGTAGTGCCTTCTTCCGTCACATCCAGGTTTCGCTGCATCGCGACCGGCCTGGACGAAACGGACATTTGGGCCGACGGGGGGTCAACGGCGTGTCTAAAAGCACACAGCTCCGTGCAAGACTCATCCAAGTAGTTATTGCAAGAGACAACGACCCTTCACTGTCACAAAACCTCGGAAAGCAAGTAGTCTACTCCCCGTTGCTCCATTTCCCAACTTTTCCCGGTGCGTCCTCAAACGTAGAGGGGCGATCACTTCAGAACAAACATCGATACAACAAAAAAGGGGCGACAAACGTTACCCACCGTTGTATTCTATCCCTTGATTGCTTCCATGCTGGTTTCGGTCTGTTTCGGTCTTAATGTCTTCTTTTGGTCATAATCTCAGTGTTGTTTCGAACCACCGTGCCGCCAGGCCGGCTTTTCTTTTGTCGAGGGGGGGAGGGGTGCGCGCAGGTTTGGTTTCCCCCCCCAAAAAACAGATGCGCTGGTCTACTGCACTTGGAACATTTTCAGGTACAGAAAAATTATGCAATCAACGGCAGCAACACTTGAGATCTTCGGAATGAAAGCCTGGGTTTCGTGTCAACCTCCGGGGCCGACAACGTACATGAACGAAGTTGCTCTGACAGAACGGCGAACTAAAACGACCGAAAAGTATCGAAAATACAGAGAGACGCATATGTTTTTCATGTTTTTTCAGCAGTGTTATCTGGTTTTTGAAAAGGCCTTCTCGTGGACGGATGTCGTATCCAAACGGACTGCTGTAGAGCGGATACTCATGTCATGTACGCGGGTCGAAATTACAGTAGCAGTACCTTCGAAATGCAAAAAAAAAATGAAAACAGATTGCCAGAACAACGACAAAAAAAACGGCTCGTGGGGAGGACGTGTCCAAACCGACTGTTGTAGAGCGGCTGAAGGCGATCCACTTCTTCGAGGTGGCGGCCGAGCGGACGTACACAAGACTGTACTGCTGTTAAGATGCAAAAACAAAATTAGAACAGGTTGCCAGAAGCAGTACAAAAATATGATGCCGCTCGGCACTGCCACCGCGCTCTACTTTAATAAACATAAGAGTACAGCGCTGTCCCTATGTGCGTCTCGCAGTCATAATCTTCTGCGTTCGACGGGATTATAGCAGTCGTTTGTCGTTTGTCGTTGCGTAGATGCTTGACGTAAGATAACACCCCCCTCCAATTTCTCTGCGCCGTGATTTGAAGCACACTTTGATAGAGAGCCTAGCACATCATAGCCGGAGTTGAGTAAGGCGAGATAGACAGAACAGATGGACGCAAACACACATGTCGTGTGTGTTTCCTCAATCCCGTAGCTCAAGGTATCCCAAAACAAGCCACGTCCAGCACAGCGACAGCACTACTTGTACTACACTGCTATCGATCTATACATGACGTCTACTGGCCTTTTCCAAGTAGACACCACCAGTGGAGTATGGCAGAATGCTGACATGTCCTCAGCCAGCAACGACGACACAAGACACAAAGAAGCACCGACGACGCAAGCCATACATTGCAAATAGGTAAACAACGTACGGGTCTGTTGCGCGGCGGTCGCGCGGCGAGATAATTTGAATTTTGAAGGTTCTGCAACGTACACGTTCTTACCACTGTCCGCCTCCCCCCCCCGTGTCGCACCCGACCGACGAGCGCGGGGGAACAGAGGAAGCAGCCGGATCCGTATCGACCTCGAGCGGTTGAGGAAGGACAAACACCTACGGGTCGCCTTCCAAAACAGGGCCTCCAGTCGCCCTCCGCCCACGGCGCTCAGGCGGCCAACGGGAGAGACCGCCGCCGAGCTGACGGCTACGGTGATGTCGGCCGCTGCTGAGACCGCGCCGCTGGCGAGGTGCGCACGAGGGCAGAGAGGCTGGTACACGAGCGAAGCGCAGCACGAGAACTCCGAAGCGTCTAAGGAGATTAAGGCGGCCCAGCAGCAACTGCGTGGGGCCTCAAAGAACAGCGCCTGCGAGGCGACCCTGAAGGCGATGCTCAAGGCGGCGCGGAAGAAGCGCAGCATCGCGAGGTGGAGTGCACTGGAAACGTTCTTCGAGGGCTATGTACGGCAGCTCGAGAAGAAGAGCCGCGAGGGGGATCAGGCGGGTTTCTACAGGCACCTGAAGATGATCGACGTCGAAGGTAAGAGATCGTTCACCTCTCAGAACATCAAGGACGAGGACGGCAAGGTCCTTCGGGACCCCACGTTTATTCGCCAACGGTGGACACGGTGGTTCCACAAGCTTCTCAACACCAAGTCGCCGACCATCGACCTGCATGCGGCTGACAAGGTCAAGTGGTGGCCCACGTGCGTGCCACTCGACGACATCCCATCTCTACTTGAGGTTGAGGAAGCGGTACGGGAAATGGCCAACAGAAAGGCCGTCGGGCCGGACGACCTACCGGCTGAGCTGATCAAGCTTTTCCTGGACGGAGATCAAGGTCTCCTCCGCGAATTCCACGCCATTGTCGTGGACGTGTGGCAGACTGGGGACGTACCACAGCAGTGGAAGGATGCCACCATCAAAGTGCTGTTCAAGAAGGGGGACACGATGGAGTGCGGCAACTACCGGGGCATCTCGCTCGTCGCACACGCCGGCAAGGTGCTGCTTAAGGTCGTCGCTACACGACTGAGCCACTACTGCGAGCGAGAGGGCATCCTCCCGGAGGAACAGAGCGGTTTCCGCCCACACCGGTCGACGCTCGACATGCTGTTCGCCATCCAGCGGCTCCATGAGCTCGCGAGGAAGAAGAGTACTGCGGTGTTCGCGTGCTTCGTCGACCTCACCAAGGCATACGATTCGGTGGACCGAGACCTACTGTGGGACGTGCTCCGACGCTTCGGCGTGCCCCCGAAGATGCTGGCGGTCATTCGCCACTTCCACGAGGGCATGAGGGCGCGCGTCCGAACGGACGACGGGCAGTACTCGGAATGGTTCGACGTGGGCCAAGGCCTCCGACAGGGATGCAACCTGGCCCCGCTGCTGTTCAACTTGTTCTTTGCCGCGATGCTCATGGTCGCCGTGGCCGAGTTCGACAAGGACCCCAAGGTGACGGCGGACATGGTCAAGATCGGGACACAAGTGGAGTACACGGGCAAGAAGGGCAGGTCGGCGGGGAGGAAGACGACGGTGGTGACGGACGCGGAGGCCTTGTGGGCCATGCTCTACGCTGACGACGCGGCCATCGTCTCGCGCTCGCCGGAGAGTCTCGAGAAGATGATGTCGGTCATCGTGCGCGTGGCCGGCCTGTTCGGACTGATGGTGTCGGAGCCAAAGACGGAGATCATGTGCATGCTGCCAAAAGGGATCGAGGAACACCCGTTCACGGTCAGCGCCGCCGGCCAGACGTACAAGCAGACAGATCGGTTTGTGTACCTCGGACGTACCATCTCCGCGGACGGGAAGGCCGACCGGGAGATCACGAGCCGCAGCTGCCGAGCGTGGAAGTGCTACCGCCGGAACAGTGCTTCGATGTACGACAGGCGACGGGCCAACCGCCAGCACAAGATCCGGCTTCTCCAGGCTGAAGTGGTGGAGACTCTCCTGTATGGGTGCGCCTCGTGGAGCCTAACAGCGGAGCACTACACGAAGCTCAATGGGACCCACCGCCAGTTCCTCACACGGTGCATCGGCTGGAGCAAGCGGAAACGCTCCGACCGCCCCCTGTCCTATGCCCAGGCCCTCATCCAGGCAGGCTGCGAAGAAACCATCGAGGTCACCGTGCGCAAACGGAGGCTGTGTTTTCGCGGGCTTTGTTATGCGCATGGAGGACAGCCGCCTCCCAAAGCGCATGCTGTTAGGAACGATGGCGGGGGGCGTGGANGATGTATGTCCTTTTTATTGCCTTCGGCCTCTGTGCTGTTTCTTTTTTTTTCATGACCTCCCTGCCTACTCTGCTGTGTTGGGTACCTTGATCTCGCTTTGCTGTTGCCTTTGTTTTTTTGTACGTCTGGCTGTCTGCCCATCTGCCGCCTCTTTGTCCTGTTTGCTCTGTTACTCCCATGCCCTTGTGCGCAGTGCCTGGTGCTGGTACGTTACCCTTTGATTTTTTCTTTGGGCGGGTGTGGGAAGCGTCCTCTTGTATTTTTTTTTTTAATATCACACAACAAATCCATCTCTATCTATAGAAATACGTCTAAGATAGATTAGCAATGAATCCATAGCGTGAGCGAAAGGCTACCTGTATGTCTACGGTTTCCCAGACAGCATACAACGATAACTCCCCTGTGGGTAACAGGCTCAACAAGGCAGTTTTTGTCTTTTTTTGATCGGTTTCCGAGGGCTCTTTTCTCGAACGGTCGGTGCGATACCTGTTCTTTTCTTTCTATCATTTTGTTTTCTTTTTCCGATTGGTTTGTACCCTATTTTTGATTTGTTTCCCCGCGGCGTTGTATGTGCCGGGTGTTGAGACCACGGGCTCCCCATTGTTTGTGGACTATGGAGCTAATGTGAGAAACAACAACAACAACAACAACAACAACGTTCATGTGCTTTTCGGAGACCACATTTGGCAGCACCAATTGGCATTGGGTAATGCGGTGTCGTGGCGCGCTAATCGCATAATATCATCTGGTGTCACCTGCTAGTTGCAGCCGTGATGTTTGACTCCTGTATTAATCCTGCCTGTGGCGCTCGCGCGGTCTCCTTCCGTGCTTGTGTTGCTCCTCCGTTGTATGCTCCAGTCATTTTGTGGACAACTGGCAGACGTTCCTAAAATCGATTTTTTTTGTTGTTCCCCCCGGCCAACGAAAAAATGCGGCACAATCTAAAGTCCTAAGACCATTGTTTATGGCGGCGGAATCTCAATCTTAATCTTGATTTTTGATGGGGGGGGGGGTCGATTCAAGAAATATCTCGAATGTACACTTGTTATGGAGTCCAAATCTTGCCTCAAAATCTTGGCAAGATTTGGGATGACTTCAAAGAGCCCCCTTTTGCCCAAATATTTCGCCAAGATTTGGTCGCGCCAGCCCTTCTCCAAATCTTGTCGGCGGGGGGGGGTCAAATTGCACCGCATCTTCCGCACACCCCCCAAAAACACAACCTCCGCCAGCCTCCGCACATCATGGATGACGACCTTGATGAGGCGGCTGTCACGGCCGCGGCATGTGCTTCCGTACACAGCCTACACACCATGAGTATGCAGCTCAACGACTTGTTCGAGGATGGCCTAGAAGAGCAGCAGAGCCACCACGAGTGGTGGGATGACCCCGACGATGACGACTGGAGTGCAGAAGCCATCCGCACCCGTGAAAGTCGTCCACGCCCGGACTACAACAAGTCGGCTTGGGGCTTGCGATTGGCGCAGATGGAGAGCCTGAGGTGCAGCCACAACTTAGCCCAGCACAGCCGAGAAGCGAGGGCCTTCAGAGCAGACTTCCGCGTCCCGTACGAGTTCTTCCTCGAGTTCGTTGAGATGGTTCGTCCTGTGTTCCCTGCAAGGGAACACGACGTCTGCGGGCGCCTGTGCGTCCCCTTGGAACTGAAGGTGTGTGATGTTGTCCACGATTATTAGCCCTGGCTGTGTTTCAGTGTGTGTGCTTGTTTTGTCGAAGATGTGGGGGCGCATTGAGTGGGTCGGGCAGGTGTTGCAATTGAATTGCACACAGATTCCGTGCGCGCTCGTTATCTTACCACCCGTGAGCACTGAACACACGCCTCGGGTCGAAGTCAATTTACACGACAGCAGCGGCAACTGCGATGCATACGAGGTGCATTGAAAGCAGAGGCTTGTTCCCTTCAGCAGTAAGCGAAGAAGCGCCACGCAGTACTGTGTACTTCGTACCCAACAGCAGTAGTCTTCAGACAGGCGGTAGAATGATTTGGCCGTCCGCACACAGCGGCGCGCTTGGGGCTGGTGTGCCATTTTGTGCATGCTCGTTTGAGACGTATGTACGACTACACGCAAGCGTCCCCGCGTGGTAGTCATTGGCTTACTACAACTCTGTGTTTGAGAGGCAGGAGGTAGCAGCAGCTCCAACACCCGCTATGCATGTGCTTGTTCCACCATCAGCCGCGACATCTACCGCACGCATGCGCTCGTTGGATGACACTACCGTGAACAAGAACCTTAGGCGTTTCACACTCACTTGTACCTTTTTCCCACACACCTGGCCCGATTCATTTTCAATTTGCAGGTGCTCGGGGTGCTTCAAGTACTAGGGAGAGGGAACTGCTTTGCTGATGTCGCAAACTTCTCCTTGATGAGCCGGACAACGGCGGAGCAGTCGTTTCACCGGTTCTGCCACTGCTTCGCCGCTGGTCTTTGGCGCACCTGGATACGTCTCCCGGAGGGAGAGGGTCTCCGACGTGTTGAGAGCACCTACAGATCTCTTGGGTATCCGGGAGCCGTGGGGTCAATCGACTGCACCCACGTACCATGGGAGCGCTGTGCGTTTTCGGAGACCACAACCCACAAGGGCAAAGAGGGGTACACGACGGTCGTGTTCGAGGCGATCTGCGACCATGCTGGTCGCATCCTCGCGTCGACGAAGGGGTACCCGGGGGCCGAGAACGACAAGACAGTCGTTCAGCGCGATTTGTCCGTGCGGCGGGTTGAGGGGGAGGAGCCGTGGGTGAGCTACAAGTACGAGATGTACGACGAGACCGGGGACGTGACGGAGCACACGGGGGGATGGCTCATCGCCGACGGGGGCTACCATCGGGTGAGAGCGCGCAAGTATCATTTGTTGGACGGCAGTGTGCGGGGATGCACATGTGGCACACAATATGCCGCAGTTTGTCTCCGTTGGTTAGTGGTGGGAAGGTGTACAGCAACACCGCCGTTCCACGTTGCCCGAGCGTGAACAAGTGCATCTCCCGAGCGCAGATCAGTTTTAACGCCGCTCTTGTCTGTTGGGTTTTGGTCGATGATCTGTGATTTTCGTTGAACGCTCTGCATTGCACAACCTCGCCCTGGAGGCGGTTGGGTGTAGTAGAGCAATGCACCTACAACAGCAGTCCGCACGGAACAACGTTTTGTTTCGCAGGTCGGACGTGGACTAATCAAACGATAGAAGCCTCTCCCGCTTCAGTAGTGGAGGGGTTTCAATTTTTACCCCCAAGCAAATGCACCTGTAGTCATTGAAGATTCGAACGACTGTTACCTTACGGAAAGTACCGCCCCCTGAACCTGCTGTTCATTTCTCCCGATGTTTATCCCCGTGCAACAGGTCCCCCTTCTGATATGCCCGTTCAAGGTGTATGCGAACGTTGCGGAGCAGCAGTGGAGCAAGAGGTTGGAGTCAGTTCGCAAGGACATCGAGTGCTTGTTCGGACGACTCAAGGGGCGGTTCAGGCTCTTCAAGACCGGGATTTTGTTCGGCGACCGGACAAAGATCGACGACGCATGGTTCACCGCTTGCATCATCCACAACATGCTCCTCGCGTTTGATGGGTTGGATCAGCTGGAGGTAGACATGGACTGGGAGGGGAAAGACGGAGAGGCGGACAGCACCACGGGCGTGTTCCCGGCTGTCACGGTTGCTGACAGCGCAGAGGATAAGGTATCCGGGGACGACGACGCCGCATTCCATGCCCACAGGCAATGTCTGGTAGACCACTTCGCGTTCGCGAAGAGCAGCAGCGAGGTGCAATGGTTCCGGGCGGTAGGAGCGGACACGCGATGATGGCTTCGTCTTTTTTCGTGTCCCCTGTCCCTAGTGCGCAGCATAGGGTGTGGGTAAAGGTATATTGTAGTCTCCACCCGTTGCGCTCCACTGTATGTGTTGTGTGCAAATAAATGCTCTTGTAGGTGGTTTTTGACAATTTGACTGTTGGTACAAGCATGTGCGGAGAGACGCAAGGCGTGTTGGATTTTGTGGCGGGTGGGATAAACTCTCAGCGCCGAAGGTAGTTGAGGCGGGGAGGGGCGGTGCGATGTATTGTAGGAGTTTATATCTTTTTTCGCGGGAGACGCAAAGAGTGTTGGAGTTTTTGGTGGCTGGGAGAAACATCCAGTGCCGAAGGTAGATGAGGGGAGGGCGGAGCGTTGGATGTTTTCTTGGAGTTATTTTTTTCGCCGGGGAGACGCAAAGCGTGTTGGAGCTTTCTTTGTGGTGGCTGGGATAAACGCTCAGCGCCGAAGGCAGGTGGGAGGGGCGGGGCGTTGAATGTTTTGTAGGAGTTATACTTTTTTTTGCGGGGGAGACTTAAAGCGTGTTCGAGTTTTGTGGTGGCTGGGAGAAACATGCAGTGCTGAAGGTAGTAGAAAAGGGAGGCGGCGCTCGATGCTATATTTTTGTTTGCGGGGGAGACGCCAAGCGTGTTGGACCTTTCTTGGTGTTGGAGCTTTCTTGGTGCCGAAGGTAGATGAGAAGGGAGGGGGGTCACCCTATCCACGGTATTGTGTATTGTACTGGTCGGGCGGGGGAGGACGGAGGCAAAGTTGAACTTTTCACGAGAGTACACACCTCAATTAAGTATCACATGCTGTCCTGTTCGTGCAACAAAACCGAACATGAAGGATTGGTTCATGTATCGTTGCGTCACCTTGGCATGCAACGTTGCGAAAAGAACTTTGGGTACGGCCATCGGATATTGGTCCGCCATCGTTTTCTACCCATACTGCGACTTCACAGTGGAGGAGGCAAAAAAATATACTCCAAGAATACCTTCAACGCCCCGCCCTCCCTTCTCATCTACCTTCGGCACTGGATGGTTCTCCTAGCCACCAAAAAACTCCTACTGCACCCTTTGCGTCTCTCTCGCAAAAAAAAATATAACTCCAAGAATACATTCAACGCTTTGCCCTCCCTTCTCATCTACCTTTGTCACGGGATGTTTCTCCTAGCCACCCAAAAACCTCAACACTTTAAATCTCTCCCGCAAAAAAAAACGCCCCTCCCTCGTCAACCACCTGTTCTCAAGCACTGGATCTAAATCGCACCCAACACACAACATGCTTTGTGGCCGGCCTCCAACAAACCCAACACCAACAAAAAGGTAGTACCACCCTCAGAGAGATAGCTCGCAAGGGAAGAAAGCATAAAAAAAATATCTTCTCACGAAAGCACCTCTTCATGCAGGAGCGTCGCCAGCTGCTTCTGGAGATTGGGTTTGTCCGTGTCTGGCAGCATGAGCAGTTTTTCGATGGATTCGATCTTCCTCTTCCTCGCTGCCGCCGCCGCCGCCGTCTCCTCCCGAGCCGCCGCTTTCCGCTTGAGACCCACCATCTCCTCCATCGACGCCACCAGTTTGCCCGAGTTCTCGTTCCCCTTCTGCATAGCCTGCAACGCTTCCTTTTTAAGGGCCGTCGCCTTTTCTTGTTGCGCCATGTTTTCGTTGTCCCTCTTGTCCCGGCGAACCCTGTCAGTCTCCGCTTTCAAAGCTGCTTGGTGCGCGCGACGACTCACGGAGTTGCCGTTGTTGTTCTCCATCTTACGCGCCGATGCAGTCGATTCAGCCAATGCTCCCGGGCTCGAAAGGGGGCCGGATGCGATCTGGTCAAAACTCACATCACAACAACAACAACGACCCCACCACCCCTTCACCGCCGGCCGCAGTCCCCCCCCCCACCGTTGATAAATCTCAAACCGTCTCTTTCTTCGCGCACACACAGCGACAGACAGAAGCCCGAGGCTTACACAGACGAGCGCGTGCAATCGATCGCGGCTGGCTGGAAAACACTCTTCGGCCTGATCCTCGAGGGTTGTTCCCTTTGCGCGATCTCAAGCAACTTGTGCACCTTTTGTCGCATGATACGTACCAGTGCTCCGAAAGAGACGGTAACACACGAATCCAAGCCAGCGAGAGGAAAATCACACACGCGCGCTGCGGCAGCAGCACGTCGGCTCGGTCATGATGTGGAAGCGCAGCAAGAAGAAGAAGAAGGAGAGCCTCGACCAAGCTCCTGCCGCAGCCACCTCGGTAGCATCAGCCGCCGAGGGTGGCGCCATGTTCTCCCACCCGGGGGCCTACGGCGCCATGATGCTCCCGCCGGAGGCGCTCAAGTCCGGATTCTTCGCGGGAAGGAGGCGGCGGCGGCGAGAGGAGGCCAAATCCAGCAACGGCAGTGACAGCAGCAGCAGCAGCGATGCCGCAAGCACTCGGAAGAAGCAGCAGCAGCACCCTCTCTGCTCAGGGGAACCCGGGAAGATCGACGGCCTCGTGTCGGAGGCGCGGGAGGCGAAAGAGGCCGAAGGTGCCCTCCGCGCGGAAGCGGCAATTTTGCGCGAGAGGAAGGCTGTGCTGGACGCTGACATCCGGCGGCTGGAGAGGGACAAGGCCGACCTGACGGAGGAGCACTTGGCGCAGATGGAGAGGCTCCGGCGGGATCTCCAGGAGGACGCCCGGGACGGCAAGCGCAGGCTCGAGTCCGAGCTTGAGAAAGGGCACGCCAAGTCCATGGATCGGCTGCGGCTGACCTTGAAGGCGGAGGCCGAGAGCCTGGCCGGAGAGACGAAACGCCTGCGCGAGGACCTGCAGCGCGCGCGGGAGGCTAAGTCTGCCGCCGTTGCCGCCGCCGCCGCTGCCGCTGCGGCTAGCCCGAGAACTAAAGGCGGTAAGTCGTCAGCAAGATCGATCGCTCGGGATACCCCTCCTGCTGCTGTGCCGGCGCTGCCCGCTGGATTCTGGAACTCGTTGACCAGCGCCTTTACCCCACGCGATCTGCTCGACGGGGTGGCGGTGGGAGTGGGAGACGGCGGCAACGGCGCCGTTCCGCCGCCCGCGCTACTGGTGCTGGCCGCGGTGCCGCTGTTTTGCTTCATCAAGCGCAGGCGGATCCAGAGGTGAGCCGTCGTGGACAACGCCTTGGATGCACCCTTGCACTCCGCAACAATCTTATTTATTGATGAACGGTCGGTCTTGCACCTGTCGCAAGGTACCATGCACTACTGCTGTGTATTGCTGTGTACAACTGTTGACTAAAACGCGAACATTACCTACACAGCATGGCCATCAGTACAGTTGATATTCGAAGAGGACCATGCGACAGCAGTTTCTACTCATGTTTTTTTTGTCAGGTGTGGTGCTCATGATGGCAGCTGTACTACTGCTGTACTTCCCAAGAACGGGACATATCCTAGGCAAAGTTGCACGTTGTCCCAACCGCTGGGAAGGAGAGTATCCCGGCTCATGCCGCGTGGCGTTCAGGAGACGACACTTGCCATGAGAAACCTATGACACAGACCTGTAATCCTCGATTGCTCCAACGGAAAGAGGTTGTGACAACCGACCGAAGGGCCACAAGGGAAGCTCTCGGCGAGACACTGCCAAATCCACCTGTTAGTATGTACAGTGATGGCTCCGATGTACGTAGGAGGGTCGAAATCGGTTATCACGGACTCGAACCTCTATACTATAGTTGAGTGCTCCCTTATTCCGGTATAAGAGGGGTCACCGATGCGGGAGGGACGAGGGCCTTTGTCACCCCCCCTTCTTATATCAGAGCCACGACTGTACATGAAAACGCCGAGAGACTGCATTGTACCCGTTGGAGATAAAACCGCAGTCGCAAGGGGTGTGCTGCCTTGGTCACCTTGTCGTTCTGGGTGGCCTGTCATTATCTGTGGAGTCATGTGCGTGAAATCGAGACAAGCAGGCTTTTGCCATGTTTGGCGGGGGCGCGAAATGTACCCGGCAGTACCACAGACGGGGGAGTGCGATGGCCCGCAAGACGACAGATGGCAGCAGTCAGAGCACTGACTGGTCGAAAAACGTTGACCGGCGCTTCGCCACTCGTGTGTATCCGAAAACGTAGATGGCGAGAACGGATGGCACATGCTCGTATACACATACACAGCCGCACGAACAGCCGCCGATCCGTCCCGCTTTCCTCTGCGTGCTTGGTCCCGTTTGTCCAGGTCCCTCCGGGCGCATATGCTCTGGTTTCCACCTCCACCAACGCCAAGCGAGCCCCCCGCCCTTGTTAAGCATGTTGCGCCGCGTCCACCGTCTGCTGTCTGTATTTCCCCCCAAGCTGTCCCATTTAACCTTTGCGCGCGTGTGGTAATACGCCACTTCCTTTTCGTCGCCATGGCCACCACAGGCTCGTGGCGGACCAAGAGGGCACCAGCATCAGCGGCAGCAATTACGAGGGCCAAACCACCGACGTCGAGGACCAGTCGGACGAAGAAGAAGAAGTCGAGAGCGCCTGGCGGGGGAAGGAGGCGGTTGGCGACGAGGAGAAGAAGGAGAAGGTCGACGACGGTGTCCGGGACAGCAGTGCTGCCGAGGAGAGGGAGGAACGCAGGCGGCGGACGGAGCAGCTGCGGCGGTCCTTGTCGTCGTCGCCTATGAAGTTGAGGGTGAGAGAGGTTTTTGGCTGGTTGTGTGATAGCTTTATCCCCGTTTTCGAAGACATGCGGCCAATCATTATGTTCGCCTTTGGCTCGGCCACGAGAAATGACAGACTTCTTTTTATTCTGCTTTCGGATGATGTGTTACGTAGTCCCTTGGTTGCAATTCAACCAGGAGCGTTTTGTTTTGTGCCGCGAGTGCTGCGTTATGCTTCAGGACGATGTTATCCTGGGAGTATGACCGTGCCAATACCCTGTCACGTGGCCATCCCGGTGAGTCTGAAATCGAATCTTCACATGAACTCCAGGCGCAAAGACGCACACACACAACCCTTTGCGCCCTCCCCCCGCCTCATGACACCTCGCCTTTGAACAGCAACAGACCGGAAATACCCCGGGCTCCAGCCTCAGGCTGAACCTGTCGCCGCGGCCGCAGGGCCCTCAGTTCTCGGAACCAGAAGTCTTGGTGAGCCCATCTGTCGTAATGTCGAGAAACGCCTCCTCTGGCCGCCGCCAGTCCACCATGCTGCCGTCCAGCGGTGGCCGCGGCTCCCGGTTCCAGGGCCTGTCTGGCGCGGCCGCGGTGGCGGCTAGGAGGAGCAGCAACATGTCTGTGATGGCCGCGGGTGACGGCGCAAGCGCTATGGGCAACAGCTGCGGCATCGACGAGAACGCCGACTTCCCGGCGTCCGTTCCCTCCGGCAGGTCGTCCTCCGACGCAGCGGCGTCTCCTGAGCGCTCGACCCCTTCCGCTAAGGGCGACGGCAGGCAACAGTCATACAAGAAGAAGCAGCCGTTGCTTCTCCATCGCGCCAAATGGCAGCAGCAGAATCGTGCCAGCATGTCCCGCCCGGCGCCCGGCGGCCTCGCCGCCGCCGCCGCTGCCGCCAACGCTCGCGCGTCGGTCGCCGGCGGCGGGGTCGCTAGTGACCGGCGCGGTAGTCAGGGGGGGCTCACCGGCGCCGCCACCGGCGGCGAAGGCGAGGCGACTGCAGCAACGGCGAACGTGGCGACGCCAGACGCGGCGGCGGCTGTCGATGTCGACCGTGCCGCCGCCGCCGGCGCGCGCGCCATGCGCGGCGCGCTGGAGGGTCTCCGCAGCGAGCGGGACTCCTTGGCGAACGCCTGCGGGCGGCTGGAGGCGGACCGGGAGGCGGCGTCGGTGCAGCTGCGGGAGGGCGGGGAGCTCGTGAAGAGGCTGACGGAGGCCAGAGAGACGCTGGAGGCGGACAAGCGCGCGCTCGCCAAGAAGTGCGCGGCGCTGCAAGGGGAGGTGGACGCGTACGCGAGTAGGAAGGAAGAGAAGGAGGAGGAGGAGACGGTACGGGCGGACGCTGAAAGTGGGTTGCGCGCCCGGGTCGTGGAGCTGGAGAAGAACCTGGAGGAACATGCGGAGCTGGTAGGTTGTTGTTGTCGTTGCTCGCATGCGGAAACGTCGACCGATAACTTTTTTTCCTTTTTTCAAGACAACGAATCCATCCATCTCTATCCACAGAAGAGAGTCCATTGCGTTTTTTTTTGTTGTTTTTACTGGTGGTCCTTTCTTGGCGACGAGGTTGCACACGGTCTTCCGCCCCTCGTGTTTTTCTTCTGATGCGATCTTGAAGGTGGGGTGGTTGCGTGTGTTTGGACAGGATCGTATCGCTCTGCGATCACCTGCGTAGTTGGTGCAGTTGCTAACAGACGACCCGGAATTGTTCCAACTCGAACACATACCGCAGGTGGCCGGCAAGGAGGCCAAGCTCGTGGAAGTCGGGGCTCAGATCGTGGACCTGGAGCGGTCCCTCGCCGCCAGTAACGCCTCCGCTGCCACGGTCCGTATGTGGCCATCGCGGCGTGTGCATCTTTGTGCGCGTGGAACAACAGTTTCGTATCGCACCCTTCTGCGTGGTCCTGCTGTAATGTTGTAGCTAGTTGTCTTGTCGTGCTGTGCCCGGGGGTATTGGTTTTGCCGCTGTTGATCCTTGCGGCGTACTCTGTGTAGCAGTGCGCCCGTTTTGCATAGATTTGTTGGGGCCCGACCGCTTCTTACAATACCCGTCTGTCCATTCCTTCTTCCCTCTTTTGTGCATCTCTCTCTCTCTCTCTCTCTCTCTCTGGGTCTCATTCTCCGTTTCCACGCTGGAGAAGGAGGCTGCCGCTAGCTCCGAAGCCGCTTCGAGGGCGCTCGCCGACAAGGAGGAGGAAGCCGCGGGGCTGCGGGAACGCGTCCGCGACGCCACCGAGGAGAAGCAGGTGACGCATGTCATCACATGATATGAACTTGAGTCATGACATGTACTCAAGCTGTCTCTGTCTTTCGATGTCTACATATCTCCCCCCTCTGCCACCCCCTTCGCTCCATACTCTCCTATCATACATGACCCCGCCACCACCTTCGTGTCTCCATCGCAAAACATTTCGTTCACACCGAGGTGAGCAGATCGTCGCAGCGGAGCTCGCGGCCGCAGTCGCGGAGAGGGAGCGTGTGTCGGCTACCATGTCTTCCCTGCGGCGCCGAGCCGCCGAGCAGGATAGGGAGGTGGGGCGTCTCACCACCGAGCTGGAGGAGGCAAGGGAGGAGGCGGCGGCGGCTTCTGGTACGGCCGCCGAGGCTGCTTTGGCTAGCTCTCGTCAGGTGAGAGAGACGCCGCTCACTGCTTCGCGTGCGACTGCTTCGTGCAGAAGCATGTTTTTGTCGCGCTGACGACGCACGCGCATGGTCAGGTAGAGCGGTGGTCCCTGGGTATGGCCAGCTGCAAGCCCGGTGACATCATGACTTGGTAATGTCGAGGTAGCGCCAAAAAAAATATTTTTGGCGAAACAACGCCGATGATGTGACAACATGAAGGAGATCAAGGAAGAGATTGTGTGCTCGAATGACATCGTCAACCGAAACAGCATACAATTTCCATTCAAACCCCTCCCCCGGGCCTTGTTCTGATGCTGCTTTACTTTGTCTGGCTGGAAAACAACACAATATTACAGGCGGCGTTGTCGGAGGCGAGGTCGAGGTTGGCAGCTCTCGAAAACGCCTTGTCTCGCTCGGACGAGGAGCTGCAGGAGGCCCAGTCTCAGCTAGGGCGTATGCAGGTGTGTGTGTACCCAAAGGTCCTCCGTCCGACGGTGTACATATTGTAAGATTCTTGGGAATCACTGGTTAGGTAGTGTGTAGAGCAGGTGTTCCAAGAATTGAGTTGGTATTCGATGACATTGCAATATACTGCAGCGCCCAGCAGGTTTTCCCAGGGGAAAATTTTGGCATGTCTTGAGGAAGGAAGAGTTGTTTCGAGGACAATGTAAGATGGCCACAAATCACACATTTTAATGCCCAGGTCAATGTTGCTGCTGCTGTTGTTGCTGCTGCTGTTGTTGCTGCTGCTGTTGTTGGCTTCGCGATAAAAACCGTCCCGATTCACACGGACAAAGAACAACGATGCCCTCCTGAGACTTGTTACCCCGTAGCCCCCGCCTCTCCCTAACCTCGACAACCGTCACCACCTATCTGCTATTGCACCCTTGGCGCTGATTGAGCAGGCCGAAGGTGTTGAGCAGCAGGCGCTGTTCGAGGCGAAGGTTGCCGAGCTCTCCGCCGCCGCCAGCAAGATCTCCTTGCTGGAAGACAGCGTCGCCAGGCACCTCGCTCGCCACCAGGATCTCGAGGACGAGCTGCAGGTTTGTGCGATACCTCTACCTGGCACATGGTACCGCCCTGTTCGGGAGTACAGTAGTGGGGGACTCCGAATAGTGCCGGTCGAATAGTGCCGAGTGCCTGGTATAGTGCCGGCGTTTTCGGCTCGCACACACACTGAAAAGCGAGCGATTCTGTACTTTGAATTGTGCCGGTAGTACCTCTTGACATATACCGGCACAATACAGAGGGCCCACAACTTGTACTGTATAGGGACCACTGTGGTATTCGCGCTTGTGTCCATACGGCCCTTGTTTTCTCAAACAGAGTGGTACATACCACACGACGGGACCTTTTTTTTTTCGTGCGTTGCAGAAACTCCGCCAAGAGACAGGAGGTCGGAGGGCTGTACAAGCCGGAAGAGCGGTTTTCGACGACGCTGACTCCCCGTTGTACCAACTCTTTTCGTTGTTGTTACGATAACGACACAGAAACTCCGCGAAGAGACCAAGGCCCTGGAGGCAAGCCGCGACGCACTGGAAGCGGAGGCCAGTGCCAAGCTGGCGGAGAGGAACAGCGAGCTGGAGGCCTTCAGGGCGCGCATTGCCGACCTGACTTCGAAGCTTGAGGTAGCTTCGCTAATAGAATGCGTGTTTTATTTGGGTATTGCATGGTGTTGTTAATGGAGCGTGGCCTTTGCTTCAACTACAGCAGTACTTGTGGAATTTCAGATTTGAGTTCGTTGGGCTGAGTCCGCGAGAATGTCGTCTTGGTAGGTTGTGCTATCTACTTCCACGGGATGGGTGTCGGTGTGTGCTGGCTGCACTGATGTAGGTCGCGCGTAACGGCAGCTACGCGCATGGCGTGTTACGAGAACTACGGCATGGGAACTCAACAATAGTAAACATGGCACCCGCTGACCTAACGGCCGTATACAGCGAGGATGACCGCGAGCAATCTCGTTTTTGCTGCAGGGGACTGTTGTAGAGACTCAATCCAAGCAAATCCCTGCAGCCTTGTTTTTTTGTTATGTTTTTCTTCTAAAGGAACGTGAGCGATGGTCGTGTCCATTTCTTCCATGCTTGACTTTTGTCGCAGAGCACCAATGCTGGCCGCGAGGAGATGGAAGTTAAGAGCAAGCGCTTGAAGCGGGATCTCGAAGCCCGCTGCCGGGAGCTGGAGGCCGAGAACCAGGTGGCCAGCTTGTTACTGGTTTAGAGTCTTTGCTCTTCCCGCCGACAGCCCGTCTGTGCCCGTTCGTCTCGCGCCGTGTCCATTATCCTTATCCTCCCCGAGGGTGTTACTCGGCCCTACCGGCAGACATTGTTTTGTGTGTTATCGTGAGGTTTATTTCCGGGTGTCAGGATCGTGGGGTTCGGTGTGTTTGTACGCGCCAGCCTTGGCCAACAGAGCAGTAGGAAGGCCACAGAGGACCTTCATTTTGTGACGTGCTCGTTGTGTTGTTACCCTCAACTTGCTTCCGCGGTGCTTGCCTCAAATTTGTTGGTTGCGTCATAGTCTAGTCTTTTGCACGTTGGTGGAGGTAGCTTGGCTTGTCGGTTACACGTAAGCAAAAGAGCGTCTTGGAGTTTGTTTTTTTTCAGATCCTCGTTCGTGACTGGCTTCACCCTCTACGTGGTAGGAACAGTGTTGTACGTGTGTATGCGTTGAATACACGTTGTCAGAGGTGTTAAACTTGTGCTTGCAGCACCGGGTCTTCCCGCCCCTCCCCCCCCACGAGACTGACCACCATAAAAATGTCACCTGATGCAAGAACTTCAATATCCGTAGAGCAGAGACATCGTGGAGTATTACGACGGTTGTCACTTGGTAGACTTTGGAAGCCGTTCTACTCTCCTGGTATAAATGAGTTCGCAGTTTTTCGGTGCCCGTACTCCAAGTGTTGACCCCGTGCCCCCCTCAACCCCTTTTGTTGACTGGTTTGGTCCGAGCCGCGTTTTGCTTCAAAATTACATCACGTCTTTCAGCCGAGAATAATTACCATCACCACATCTCTGGCGGAGAGCGATACACCGTGTTTCTTGTCTGTCCTCATTGTCCATACGTACGTAACGGTCCTCCAGGCCCAGGAGGCCGAGTTCGAGCACAAGCTTTCGGAGAAGGTGGCGGAGCTGAAGGCTAACGCCCTCGACATGGAGGCGAAAGTCAGGGAGCGAGAGATGCTGGAAGCGAGGCACGCCGAGAAGCTGCAGGTGCGCGCGTGTTTTTATTTTATTTTTTTGTTCTATACTTTTTGCGACAATAACTTTCCGTTGGACATCCGCCAGGTCTCGGTTGTGTATGTTGTGTTCAATCACGATTTCAAACCAATGACGTCCTTTTCGAAAATTGTGTGAAAGGGCGAAGGGATGCAAAGCCAACTAATCACACCAAAGTGGAGTGCGAGACTGGACGCGTGTGGAAGCGAGGGTCGGTGCTTCTCTGCGAACGGGGCCTTCCAATGGTAGTTAGTTTGCTGCGCTCGGAATATTACTGTTGAGGCGGCGGAGGACGATCAAAGATATTCGCATCGACCTATCCACGTCTCTTAGCTTCCACACTTCCGCGGTTTATCCCGTTCACCAAGCCGACAACAACGACCGAAGACACCACCACCAACGAGAAAAAACCCGAGTGTACAAAGGACGCTGCCATATCTCCAAGAGCACCACCGCGGCCCCTCGAGGGAACGACCACGAAACACATGTTCCTCATCACGTCCGACTGTGGCAAGAACACCGCCTTTTTGATCCGTTCGCCAAGCCGACAACAACACGACCGAACACATGACCAATAAAAGAAAAAAAAACGCACGAACAACACCATATTTGCCGACTCCAGGCCCTCGAGGGGGAGAAGGCCTCCATGCTCGCCGAACTCGAGGACCGGTACGCTTCTTCTTCGGAGGAGCTCCGCTCCCTGTCGATCGAAAAGAGGAAGGCCGACGAGGCTTGCTCCGCTCTACGCGACCGGGCTAGCGCCCTCGATGAGCGCACGGAGACGATGGCCGGTGAACTCAAGGTACGTGTGTGTATGAGTGTGTGTTTGTTTTTTCTTCAGCATCGACCACACTATCCGGCTGACCAATGAAAAGACGCCAGGCTCAGTGCGGTTGAAAGCACAAAATGCTTCTACAGGTCACGATGTGGGATCCCGTGAAGGGGCGTCATGGGGGAGGCTATGCTTCTTTACGGAATATAGCGTGGGTATTTGTTTGAATTGCCGACTGCACTAACTGGCTGACCAATGAAAAGACGCCAGTATTGCAGCGGGACTAACAACGCGAGGACCTTGCCTCATTAAAGGGTTCTGCTGACAGGAGGAGCTTTGTATGTGCGCGGTTTGGGCTTATTTGGTGAAGTTTTTTTTTTCTCTGACGGAATGGTGCACGCGCCATGTCTTGCACCCGCGAACTGCTCTGGGAAGGGTGTTGGCCGTAGGGGACGGCGTGCACGCGCAAGGCAGGCAGGGGGTAAATTGGTGGATCTGTTCACCTGTTTCCTGAGTCAGTGGGAGTCGAGGGTTGGCTCGGGCTCCCACAATGCTCGGTAGCAGTCTTAGTTCACTCTCACATTTGGCGCGCTTTCATCTCCTTCTCGTTTTCGTCCTCTGTTTTTCTCGGGGTTGTGACTTGTTAGTAGGGAGCGGAGCCCTCACTCCATACGTACAGGCTCGTTCAGATTTCCGTCTCACTCTTCCGGAGCGGGGTTGGTTCACGTCTTTCCCTCTGAATTCGCATATCCGGTTGCATGATAATCACCCCTTCCGTAGTTGTCTCGCATCTTTTTCTGTGCGCGGTCCCTTCGCTGAGGTATAGGAATAATTGTTTCCTTGCACGGCCCGCAGTAAGCTGTCCCGCTGCGTCCCACCGGTCGAGATGCGCGCACGTAAGCCGAACTGTCTGTGAGGATTGAGCAAAGAAATCAGACCGAGCGCGGTTAGAAGTCATCGGTCTTGGGGCACAATTACCTACGCACATTACCTACGCATATCACCAGTATGCGAAAAATCACAGAGTGTACGGAGTTCACGCAAAGCACACGTGCCCACGAAATGCAACAGGACATTATCTCACACCCTCCCTCAAATCTTGGCCTTATCCAACCACCTGTCGTATCACCTTTCAAACGAAAGTCAAGAATATCCGCCAAGCACGAAGGCCCACTGCTATTCGGCAGGACCGACCTGCCTTTTTTCTCAAGCTCTCCCTCTCGGCTCCACTCGCCAACAACCCAACAACAGACTATGGCCGACAAGAACGCCTCCTTGACTGAAGAAGCCGAGTCCTCCCGCAAGCTTCTGGCCGCGCGGGGCCAAGAGGTGGCCGACCTCGTCGCCAAGGCCACTGCGGAGGCCGCCAGCGCCGGCGCCGCCCTGTCGGCGATGGAAGGCCGTCTCCGGGAGGACAAGCGAGCGTCGAGGGCGAAGATTTCGGAGATTGTGAAGGAGGCCGAGCAGGCGGCGTCGACGGCCAGCGAGGCC